GGGTAGCAGATCCACAGCGTGTGGAATAAGCAGGCTGGCACTCTATAACCCTGTGGGGCTGGTTATCACTGGGAAAAACAGTAACACTTCCGACCAAAGTGGGTTTAGCCCAAGTTAGCTGCATGGGGTTCAATGACATGAGACAGAGTGATCATACTTATAAGGGCCCAAAATTTAAGTGTCACTTTTTTTTTTAAAGAAAATGCTCACTTTACGTGTTCACATTTTGAATATCTAAATGAAGGTTTTATGGGAGCAATATTTTAAGAGATCTCAGGGATTGAAGAGATCAAATGTATAGTGTTAATAACCATCTTAATCTATTAAAACCAATACTGCTCCCCTACATCAGAGAATTGCTTTAGTTATCTCACACCCTCTTCTGAATAAGATAAATTATAGAGTGGATTAATGAATTAACAAAGGAAGGATTAAGAGGAGTAAGTGAATGAATGGATCCTGTATCACAGGCAGCACTGGGAACACCCCAATTACTTAGTAGCTACCACAGACCAAGAATCTGTACTAATTCCATATCTGCCCAGGCTAATATTTTCTATGTTGGAATAAAGAAAGGAAGCAATCTTTGTTTTGTTTTCATCATTGTGGAAAATTCTAAAAGGTAAATTAAGGAATAAAAACATTTTATCCAAATTTGTTCTGTCAGATGCAAACTCCCTTCTGAAATGTGGTTGATTAGCCTTTAGAAAAATCACAGGTTCCAGTGTCTCTCACTTGTGCTTTAATCTGCACCCTCTTCAGCAGAGTTAATCACCTCTAGCAGCCAGACAGACAGCTGGCTAGATGGGGCCTTCACCGAGATGAAAGGGAAAGGAATGACTGCTTTGCTTTGGGACAGATAAACCAAACTCATGAATAGCACCTAGTGGTGCTTTATGGTAGTATATATACCACACAAGAGGGTATGTCTGTGGGGAAACTTGACTTATGTCCTTAACATGAAGGGAAGGTCCTTAAAAACATCACAGAGGTTGATGCTGCCAGGGATCAGATGTGGCCCATTTCCCCCTCACCACCATCCTCAGGATGCCATTCAAGACTGGGAATGAATTAATCCTCCATGTTAACTCTGGGAGACTGGTCCCAAAGCTGCCTGTTTGGACTTGTGATTAGTCTAATCATACCCTGTGGCTTCTCTTCTCTTCACTGTCAATGAGCTCAAAGGGCCTCTCTGTTCACTGCAACCTGCCCTGCAAATACTGGGTATAAGCCAATATATCTCTGTTCCTAAATTTGGTTCTCTCTTACAAAAATGAGTCCAGATTTCTAGCAGCATTTGACCCACGGAATGCTGAGGTGGCCAAATGTCATCTGGCACTCTAGTGTATTACTTCTTTGCATTAACTCTTTAGATCTCATGCTAACCTCTGACCTCTCACTGCACTTTGTACGCACTTAAGTTACAATATCAGGGGAAGTTTCTTATATCTAAATATGCTCCACTGTGGTGTCACATAGTGAATAAGAGAGACACAGTGACTCCATTATATATTAGGAAAACTCTTTTTGTATCAAATTATAGACTAATATCTACTTGGAGATTCTCTCTACAATGTATGCCATATTCTTGTTTAATAAATGGTATTCTTGTACATCTCAAAGTTGTACAAGAAAAGCAGTAGAATGTTAAGCATGACTATTTCATGATTGTTATGACATTCTGGGTACGGGAATCAATTAGAGATCATTGGGTACAAAAGCTCCCATGATTCCCAACATTTCAAGTAGAGTCAAGTTCAGAAGAAATATTCTTTTAACAGATTCTGATAATTCCCAATGTGTAGAAACAAAAACTTGTATCAGAGCTCCTTATTTTACCCAAATGATTCAAAAGCATTTGTTAATGATTTCGATATTTAGGCCCCTCCAGCAAAAGCAAACATAGAAAGATAAGCATTCCTTAATATGCACATGAAAGGGTTTTAATAAGGCCTTCTGGTGTTTGAGCAAACTGGAGTCAGGTAACGGAATTCAGCTCTACCATCTCCTGAGTGACTGGGCTAAATACATAATCCTTCAGTGCCTCTCTGCCCTCATCTGTAAAGTGGAAGGTAAAATAGTATCATCCCCAAAAGCCCACTGTAAGGATGATAGAAAATGATGCATGTAAAGCTTCTATTATCCAAATTGTTGCTGTTATCACTATTACTCTCATAGATTTAGCTCTGTCACCTAATTTTTTGTCAGATGTTACATATTAAATTTTCTAATAAATGGCAGTCATCATTTTCTGTAGATATCTCTCTACTTTTAATTCTCTGTGAGCTACCAAGCCTATTCTCATTCCGTTACTGAGCATTTTGCAAAGAGTTTATCTTGGACAGTACATAAAAACATAAATCCCTGAGTTAAACATTGGCTACAAATTAACAAGTCTTTTTATAAAGAAATGGGCAATTTGTTATGTCTGCTTTTTAAAAATTTTCAGACTAAAAACGAGATGTTTCAAGGGGCTTTGGAGGCGTTGCCTCATTTCTTCCAGTTCCAGTGGACTCAGCATGACTGCTCGAGCATTCTGCTGCGTTCATGGCGGAGGCCTGACTCCCTCTGTAGGGTGGGAGTGTGGTCCTCTGCTCAGGCAGGTACACCTGACAGGCTGCACACGTTTCATTAGAGGAGGTGATCTCAACTCCAGAGCCCTTTTGACAGCTGCAAGGTCCACAAATTGGCACTGGTACTGTGGGTCCCTGTCAGCAAGAATATGCTGCCACTCAACACCCACACAAAGCTCAGGAGAAAAACAGCTTTCACGGGAGCTTGCCAGGGTGTGTGGGAACCATCCAGTCCTTTAAAATACATCTCTGGGCTAGGACATAGCAAAATTTAAGAGAACTATAGAGCTGGACTATATCATTTCCCTGGAAATTATTTTAATAAATTTATTTCTCCATTGGAATATTTAGAAGAGTATCACATGAAACAGACTACTAAGGTGTTTTTATAAAATGTGGGCATGCCAACCATATGTGATAGGAGTAAGGATAGCTTCATGAAATGTTATGGAATTCATCTGACTACAGGATTACTGAAGATTATTATTGATTCTTTAAGAAACACTACCGATAATTTTAAGCAAGATCAGTGAAGCTGATGAGGCACTTCCAAAAATGTTAGGCACTCTAACTGATGTTACATTTGAATTTCATTAGTAAAGGTTAATTTAGTAATAACAATGTGGTTTCTTAAAAACCAATGACTCCATCTCTGAATGATTTGCATATGCTATCCTTATCATAGAAAAAATAACGCAATGTACTTTGTTTATATGTAAGAGATCTCTGTACTGGTTTCAAAAACATATAGCCTCAGTAATTTAATTAAAACCAGAAAACCTAAAAGAAATACAGTGACTAGATACTGCCTATCTTAACAATTTTTTTGTTAATGAACTACCTCATGATATGAGCATAAAGATAGAAAGTAATTTAAAATACTTGATTTGACCTAAAAATAGCCACCCATAAAATAATGCCAAATAGAACATAATAAAGCCTTATGCTTAAGTTTTCCCAATCCATTAGGAAGGTTCATTTTATTCTTCAGAATTATCATTCACTGTGTGGGCTCCCAGGAAAAAAGGCCAACTCACCATGTTTGTACCAAAATGTATCATCTGTACAGAGTAGATACTATATTCTTTCAAATATCACTTTTAAAAAGTAGTTCTGAGCATTTAGGCCAGTGGTCCTAAACGCAGATGTGTGTAAGAATGAATCTGGAGGAAAATACAGAGACGCCAGGTGTACTGCATTAGAACACAGCACAGTAGAGCCACAGACTTGGGCTATTTTTACAAGGCGACCAGGCAGCAAAATTCAGAGTAAGAACTGCTGGTTTTCAGACTTTGTTCTAAGATCGCTTGGGTATCTGTAGGGTGGGATGTAAACTGGCAACTTTTTACATACAGACTGGTTTCTCTTTTGCCTTTACGGGGCAAGCGCTGTAGTCTTCATTCTCTTACAAGGAATATTCATGTCTCTGAACTAGGCCCAGTGGGCAGAAGAATTGGCAACTACTGTTTTAAGACGATAAATGAAAATAACCCTGGATGAATGCCAGGAACTGTATTGGGTGTTTTACATAATTTAAGCTATTTATTCGTCATAACCACGTATTGAAATAAGTACTATCATTATCATTATCTTCAATTTTAAGATGAGGAATCATATACTAAGAAAAATAAACTAACCCACACAAAGCCCTATGATAAGTGGTAAAGCTGGTTTCAAACTCAGGTGAAAGGCCCATTGTTTTACCAATACCCCACATGACACCATCCTTTGGCTGCAGTTATTTCCTAAGACAGAGTCTGGGGGTAGCGGTTCAGCATAAAAGCAGGCCTTGTCAGAGCCAGTCTTGGGATTCCAAGACACGCACATGGCCTTTTGAAGTCACCCAACAAGTGTCAACTCCTTGTTTCAGCAGCTCAGCAAATAGTGTTTCCAAGGTCTTTGATGACAAGAAATGTTTTACTGCCACAATACTTACTTCTCCTAGATAAGCACTTAACAGCCACTTCCCCCAGCTCAGAGGCAGATACCAATTAAGCTATTGGTTCTGACAGAAGCTAAAGTTTTTAAAAGAAAAACAGAGGACATGTGTAATCCACCATTTTAAAGTGCTAGGGATTTCACTTTTTCAAGAGGGCAAAATGGGAAGAAGGCAATTATTTCTTACAGAAAATGTCTGAGTAATCAGAAAATCACAAAGTTGAATATAATAATTGGAAAACAAAGATATTTTGGGGAAAAGATGCACTATTGACATAAACCTGGGACAGTGATAGATCAGAGATTACTGACTCACCTGTAACACACATTTTCGGTACATGGATTATGCACTTTGACTATGACAAAGACATGCTGAAAGTGAGACCGGATGCTTTTTGGAGTAAAAGGAAGTGCCCCTGGCTCCTGGAAGACGATGGTGACGATGTCATTTCCTATGTGCCTTTTCCTCAGTAGCTGTGGTCAAGAGAGTGAAGAGTTACAAATAAATTTTTCTTTAAAACAAAATATATAAATATATACAATTTACCCGTCTTTTTTTGTTTTTAAAGATGTTTATTTTATGTACAAAGAACTATCATGATTTTTCATGGTAGATGTCTTGGATAATCCTTTGAAGGAAGATCATTTCGTCCAACTTAATGAAACCAATATCCTTCGCATACTGATGGAAACACTGGTGGCACACATTGAGGCCATATTTCCGGATCAGACCATGCCATGTCAAATCAGTTTTAACAAATTAGACAAGAGTGAGAACCCTGGCCAAATTTTCGTGGGTGGCTCCAGTACAGCTGCTGGTGACCCATCTTGCTCTCAGGAGTGCAACAAGGTAAAAGGCAATTCACTCATCTTTCAATTTGAAGGAATGATTTTAAAAAAGCATAGTCATTCCTTGGAAGTTAGTGCTCCTAAATTTGGCAGAGAGAAAGCAAAATGGGTTTCATTCAAAAGACCCATGGAAAAAGAAGCCTAAATATTTATCTCTTTTATTTTAAAATTCATTTTGAACTCTCTCTCCTTTTTGTCTTTATCCAGTTCCTCTTTCTAAACCCCTAAAATTATAGCACATTAGAGCTCACAATGCTTTAAGAAATTTTGTAGTTTAAGTGCTAGGAGGAAAAGTACAAGAGTGGGTACAGGTTTGCTGAAAGGTCCTACACTGTCGCCCTGGCGTGCCTCAGCTTGTATCCTGTGATTCCACAGTAACGTGCATTTCTGCAACAAAAATACAGAACACTGTCATTTTGGTGGGCAGTAATGCAAACCAATTAACTGAACCCTGGCTGTTTAAAATGTAATTCAGAAACACAGAATTCCATTGGATTACTAACCAGAAACCCAATCGTTTGTAATTTTATAAATCACAAATCTGGCAGGGGGAAACGAAGCCCAGAGCAGTACACTCTAACACCACCTTTACTTCTGATGCTCCTTCTGCCAAGAATGCCCCCTGCAGTCCAGGTTTCTCCCAGAAAATGCAGTCGTCTCCGTAGCTCTCACCTCATCTGAAAGAAACTTCCTATTTCCCAGGCCCATTTCTATTACACTGGTCGTTGTACTCTTCTAATGGTTGGTTTACTTCTGCCTCAGGTCATAACCTTCATGAGGGCGGAGAGTGTCATACTGACTTTCAGATTCCTAGTTTCTAATGGTGTGCCAAGCAAAGAAGGTACCCAATACACATTTGTTTAACAAATAAACAAATGATCCAAATATACATTTACTGACACATCACATTATGGGTTACAATTGTGATTAAAATTCTTTCCTATAAACACATGCCAATAAATCCTTATAATAGACACTTTGTAAGCTTATGCAAGTGAAAGCATAGATCTGTGCTCTCAAAGTCTGTGATCTTCAGTTTTGATACATAAAACAATCCTTACACAACTTGGTGATGTCACTGCTGGAATGTGACAATCTCAGATAGTAAATCTCTTTCTACTCACAATATGGAACACCACAACCCTACTCTTAAATGTATTTGGCACCTACAGTGCATATTCCACTGTAAAGAGCATTAAGTTCAACTTTTAAGACCTTTTAAACCCAGATACAAAAAGGATTTCATTGTTAGGTCCCTGACTTGTGATTTAGCATGATAAAAGGCCTGGAAAAGTGGGAATGAAATGTTCATTCTTTGAGTTCTCTACAGGCCACTTAAATTGTGGAGTCATATGCTAAAAAATTCCTACATAAATCCCCATGGTCAAAGTTATAAACACACAAAATCATCTTACTGTCTGAGTGAAGTTTTGAAACCTACATGAGTATATCATAATATAGACCCAATGAGCTACCTCATTTAAATAAGAAGTTTTTAAGAAGTTTGCTAGATATTTAAAATGTGGCATTTCAAATGCATGTAAATAATCAGTGAAAACTTTGGCAATAACATTCTTTGCTCTTTTCTCCCAAAACTGATAAATATGATTCTTACATACTGTAAAAAGACATGGAAAAATCAGCATCAGTTTTTTAAAATATGCCCATTATTGTGTTCAATGTATTTGTAGAATACAAAACACAGCAGTTCACACTGTACTTTATTAAATACCCTTAACACATGCTATAACAAATATAGCATGTACCCCCAAAATATGTACAGGAATTCTCGGATTGACAAAAGATGGAGCTCGCTTTGGTCAAGGCCAAACGGTGAGTTCAGTGCCTTCTACTTCCTGAGTGATTGCCGACATGGCTTCATGTTGGCCAGCCCTCTCAATTAAACGCAGGGGGCAGGGAGGGCCTCATTAGTCAGTGCTTCGTGCTGCACAGACTGCAACAGCAAATTGGACAGTTATTCCTAACCAATTTCTTTTCCTCCTGCAGAAAGATGTTGGGTCTGAATCTATATATAACATACAGGAAGATTTTAAGCACACATTAAAGGGAACTTTAAGGCTGGTTACCTTGGCAACATGCCAAACCACTGTTGTCCCCTTCTAGGCATATTCTTTTGCTTTGTCATATGGGCCAAAAAATGTTTTCAAAAATCTGGTTAATTTAACCATGGTCATATAATGCACTTTGTAGGAAAAAATAACCATTGCAGGTGGAAAGAAGATTCATTAAGAAAGGTAAAATCTAAAGCTCTTTGAAGGAGAATAAAATAAGAAAAATGAACACTATCCATTAACAGGATGCTTGAATTTGGTTCAGAGACTGAAGAAAATCTCTGAACAATTAACAGAAATATTATTAATTTTTTTGTTATAAGATTTTGCCAAACATGAAATAAGTAACTTCTTGAACTTCTTAAAGGCACTTTTTTATTATTTAGTTTATGCTTTTTTCCTAACTGGTCAATGAAATTCCATACAGAGTCTGTAAATGGAGAAGAAAAGGGATGGCAAATGCAGCCTGGCACACCCTGCGGTACTATTTGTTCGTGGGAATTGTAGAAACGACATCTTCTGGGGCTAACTCCTTTCTAGGTATGTAAAGCTAATGACAGTTTTCAGTGATGTCAACAGGACCGACTTACTAGTGTTTTCAACTGCAACAGTGAGTTAATAAATCTCGTATTAGATAGATTTTCATAGTCATTTCTACTAAATTTCTAACACTTGATTCCAGCTGTGAAACAGGAATAAGCTCTTGTTATGACAAGGAAAGTGAAAATGTGAGTCGTCACCCAATTCACGGCAGAAGCGTATAGATGCTACAGAAATAGCATATACAGCCGTAGGTTTAGTCTCAGTGCCTTAAACAAACCAGGATTTCACAAGACCAGTTTTAATTCAGTGCAAAAATATAGTTAGATAGAAGGAGTAAGTTCCCATATTCAACAGAACAGTAGGGAAACTGTAATTAACAGTAATTTATTGTATTTTAAAAATAGCTGCAAAAAATTTTGAAATGTTCTCAACACAGAGGTGTTTGTGGTAACAGATATCCCAATTAACCTGATGTGACCATTACACATTGTACTGCAGGTATCAAAATATAGCATGTACCCCCCAAATATGTACAACTATTATGTATCAGTAAAAAGAAATTTAATGAGAGGCAAAAACTCAAAAAACAAACTGAGAAGAAAAAACCTAAGAAGTGAAAATAAGTATCTGACAGTACCCTTGGATGACAAATGAGATAAAGCTGAATTAGATAATATCTGCTAGCTTCCATGTACATGCGTTCATTTGTTAAATTATTATCATTTTTTAGCCCAGTAAAATGAAACAAAGTGTTCTGCACCTAATGCTGGCGGAAAGCAGGCTGTACATGAAAGAGAACAGCCAGGGTATGATTCAGAAGCTCATAAGAGTCAGCGAAGAGGAAGCTCATCTGAAGCTGGAGAAGGCAGGTCTCCAGAGAAGGTCTTCAGAAAGAGGCAAACCCATATTCTATACGAAAGCAATCACAGGTTCTCAATCCTTGTCCTGTTACTAAGAAGGGGGCTGAGAAAGACTCCTCTGACGTGACTGATCTCTTCCTAACTCTCCGACCTCATCACCTGCTCCTTACCATCTAGACAGTGCCTTGTCCCTCCTACAGGACAACTTGTTCCTACACAAGAAACTCTACAGTTACTAATCCCTGGAAAGCTCTTTGCCTTCACCCGGAAAGCTGGCTCTTCCTCCTTTAGGGATGGCCTTAATTTTGCACTCACACATACAGATGCATGTACATAAACACACATATCCCCTCATATACTCTATACTTGAGAGTCTGCATCAGTGGTTAGAACTTTGCCTTGGTTTTTAAGAGGCGTCTAGAGTTGCCCATGAAAAAAGTTAATGTAGAAAAGCATTATAAATAATAACTGAGAAGGGGGAACTTATACACCTTACCACAAAAATACAAAAGAAAGAAAGGTCTCCACCACCTCCAACAAAAAAGTGGATGCTAGTGAACTGTTCTTATTTCAGATGGGCAAGAAGAAGATATTACATTTAATTAATGTTTCAAGGATTTGCCACTGATTTACCATTTCATATAATCATGATATTTTACCAATAACAAGAGTCAATGTACAAATGAGTTAAGAAATGCTGAATGGTTTGCAAATGAAGAAACAAAATGATCTAAGAATGCAGATTTTTAGTGACTTTGTAACAAAGTAAAGATGGTAACAGGATTATGAAGTTATAAATATCTCAGATTTCTGACACTGGGCAATACTAACCCTTAGTTTAAGCAGCAATCTCTGTGATGTGGTATATACTCTTACTTAGGGTCTGGGAATACAGCTACTCATGGAAAGCTAAATAAGCATTTTATCCTTCCAAAATATTCTATAGTATTATGCCTAGGTGAACCCAGGAATAGTCAGGACCCAAGTGCTCACAGCTCTTAGGGAGGCAGGTGGTTCCAGTATTTATAGGGGTCCTTAACGACACCAACTAGAGATTTAGGGAAGTACACAAACTCTTTAAGGCAGGGACTTACAATCAGTCCACCTACTATAAAGAAAAGGGGTGCAGGCTTAACCCAAATATAACATCATTGCCTCTTTGGTATCAAGCCCATTACTAGAATAAGACCAGTATCCTTTAATTAGCTTCTCAGAAACCCAGGGGCACAGTTGTACTTAATGATACCCCCACGAGGCATCAGTTACCCCTTCCCAACAGAGCAGCTAAAACGTTACACATATATTAAAAAAGAAATAGGTTACTGTGTGCCAGGCACTGAGGCAACTCTACTTTATATGCCTACTTTGAAGGAAGAATTTCTCTGCCAAAGTGAAGTTTAAAGCTAATTTATGAAGTTCTTCCCATTGATGACATCCCACGATGGCTTAACCATGAGTTGCAGAAGGAAACAGGGCAAGCAGAAGGAAAGCACTCAGGGGAAAACAGCCCTGGGAAAAGCGGACGGACTGCCAGACAGATGCAGAGAGACTTGCAGGACTTAACTTCTGAAGAGAAAATACTCCAAGAGTACGGTTTGGTTTCTTATCACTCTCTTGGTCTGGTGAGTTTTTTGACGCAAGAGTCAGAGACATTCCAAAGATTAAAGCTCTTTTGCAACTGTGGTAAACTTTCTGAAGACTTTTAATACATCTTGGAATCAGCATCCAGCTTGATTTATTACAAAAAAGAATACAAGAAATTAAATCTGATGTGGACGAGTCTGGACCAGTTAAACGGTCACAAACTGTGGTGTAAGAAGCCAAGGTTACAGGCACAATTCATGTAGAGGCCAGTTAACTTTGCTAAGTCCCGTGGCTTCAAACTGCACCCATGAACCCAGCTGGTTATTTCAGACATTTCTGCTCTTGGTATTAACATAATTTGTGGACATAGATGGCGAGGGCGAGAGAAGTGGAGTCAATATAACTCACAACAAATTTAGAAAATCCATGTCCTAAGACTGCAAGTAACATTATTTATCCACAAACAGAACATTCTGGTGACAGCTTGTGATTAGCAAAATATTTTATTAAATGTCAAAGTAAGAATAATTTTCTGAAATAATTAATAAATTTAGTCTCTCACTTTCTTAACCATTCAGAGTGTTAGCTTCTCATAACAGATCTTTAGGACTGAAGACAGGAAAATAAAATGCAAATTAAGTCATCCAAAATACTGGGGGCTCTGTATCTAGTGAATTATAAAATAATAAAAACGAAAAGTTCCATGCTTGGAACTATTTTAAGTGCTTTACATGTATTAATTTGCCCGATTCTCTACCACCTAAGACAGGTTCACTCATTCATTTATTATTCATTCAGCAAATGTTTGTTGACTTCTTACCTTATTAGCTAAGGTTCTAAGGTTCTGGATACTGTTGTAGGCACACAGGGACATCTCAGTGAACAAAACAGATGCCAGTCCCTGCTTGCAGGAGTTTGTAACGTATAACCTCAATCTACAGGGACTTTTCTTTTACTTTCCAGTTGGGGAAGTTTAACACACACACAAATCTTCCTCTATCCCCCAGCTGCCGTCTACATTTTCACTTCTTTGCTGCCCTGATTTTGTGCATAGATGTTTTTCAAGGTTAGTTTCAGTGAAATAAAGTCAGGTACACAAAACTCTAACACCTACAGATTTTGATTATCCTTCGGTGAAAGGGGGTGGGAACACCAGTTTTGAGGTCTGGTTAACAGTAAAGACTTCAAACCTCTAGAGGTTGGTGCTTGTGAAATGCCAGGGCCAATTCAGCCTGAAGTCCAACAACTCGAGTAATTAGGGAACTGGAAGGGCTTTGTGGTTTGAATACTCGATGACAGGGGTCAAAAGTCACTGGCTCTATTTCTGCTAAAGTCCTGATAGATTTTCTTGGCTTGAGTAAGCCCTATCAGTTTTCTGAGTAACAACTCCCACAGAGTTTAATTACTGAATGATTCACAAGTATTTGCTGGACAACTGTCCTGGTCTAAATTAAGCCTCTTAAGATCCAGTGAATCTGTTTGGCATTATTGCAAATAAATTTTTGAGAGCTAAAATCCCTTAGGTTAAAATACACATAAATACATACATGTGATCTAGTGATTTTAAGTCTATCTTAAAAAAATACAGACGAGTAATCTAGAGATAAATTTTTTGAAGGTAGTAGGAAGAACCATGATTATCAGAAAACACTAGAAAATTCAAAAAGGACAAGGGACTGAGGTAAGTGTGAGATGGAAAACGGCAAGAAAACCCAGCTAGCAATTACCATGAGAAGAGACTGGGGGTCAGGGGCCTGCTCTCTCATTCTAGCTGGAGGATCTGAGGCTAAGGTGCTTCCTCCAACTAGTGATGGGAGAAGGAGAGGTACGTGACTGGTTTCTTCTTTGGAAAGAAATGCAGAATTAGACTAAATTTATATACTTTTATGAGTATGTTTTAAATAGGAAAAATTCACTGAGACAATTCAGTTTCATTCATTTGACAAATAGCTACTGAGCAATTCCTATGTAGTCCTTGGTGCTTTACATCTTTGGAGCAAAGGAGTATCAGTTAAGTGACATCCAGAGAACTATCTTCTAAGTGTGAAAACAAACTTTAACTCCAGATTTAGCCTGAATACAATCAAATCCCTAAAATTAAATTATGTCAATGAATTAGTTGTAAGTTCCCGTAATTCACAAACCTTTCTGTCAACAACCCTTCAGAAATTCAAGCAGTCAATATTCTTAAAAAAGTCTTCAGTTTAACATGGGCAGAGCCCACGAGATTCTAAACAAGATGTGAAATGGAGCCTTATTTATCCCATAGATTCTCTCTATCCCAAACATAGGTTCTTTTCTATCCCAAATAATCCAACTGCTCCCAAGCTCAGAGTAGACAAAGCATTTCAAATATTTCTAGCACAAGATAAAAAATGGCCATAATTTCTAGTAATCTTGGCAAAAAAACTTTACCAATAAGTAAATTATTTTACAATCATTTATGCATCATTCAAGTTTTCAAAGGTTCTTAATTCTTACTGAGTGGCTGTATTCAAAGCATGATGCATTCTGATTTTTTCCCCTTTAAAAGGGTCAATAAAGTTTGGCCAGTAAGTCCAATTAAAACAACAAAAATGGAATGGAGAGGAACAGCTGAAAACAGCACCAGTAACAACTGCAAACGGTATTCTCTATAAATAAGCTGTTCACCCACATGCAAAAACCGAAGTCAGGTCAACACAGTTGGCCTTTTCGTAATTAACATAGTTGAGACAAGTTTCTCTTAAGAAAAGATTTTGTCTAGTAAGCAATAAATCTGAGTGTGGAAGAGTTTCTAAGTTTTATAAGAAAAAAGTGCAATAATATTCTCTTTAAAGCCCAAATACTTCCAAATGATCAAAGAGTCAAAGATGATTAATGCTATTCAAGAAAAACCCTCACTGATTGTTTGCAAGTTCTAAATGCATCAATATCATCAATGGGCTCACCTCCGATTTCATACTCAGGGTAAAAAGCTCCAGGCTGGGGAAGACATACCTGCTGTCTGTTGTTGGGCATGTAGGGAAGCAGGGTCGACACATGGAACATGAGTTCGTAGTCTTTGTATGTGGTATAGAGAGAGTGAGTGCCCGTGGAATCAGCTGAAAACAAAGAGGAATTAAAGAAGCAAAGTAAGCCACTACAAAATCAGTGCTTTAATATTTAAACAGTGATTGTTGCCCAAAAAAAAAAAATCACAAAAAACCCCAAGCTATACCCGACCAGAATCTGGACACTGCCCATCCATCTCTCACCAAGCACTGTTTCCACCACCTCCCGCTCCAGGGCTGTAAACTGAGGGGCTCATTTTCTTCCCCACCTCTTTCTACTGCACCTTCAGCTTCCTCTCTTTTCTTCTCTGTTCTTACCCTCACAGAATGGATTTAGGTGACCCACTGAAAGTGAAGTGTGTTTGCCACCAAGTACACAGGTGAGCAGTAGAGGAGAGAAGCTGGTGCGGGTCTGGGTGCAATTATCTGAAGGCCGTGACAAATTGGGGATAGTCTGGCCACATCTGCACACGCATGTGTGTGTTTACAGTTAATTCTTAGTTATTCTTGGGCACTTGATCTTCCGGAACCCAGAAAGATGAAACAAGATGTGTGTGTGTGTGTGTTTACAGTTAACTCTTAGTCATTCTTGGGCACTTGATCTTCCAGAACCCAGAAAAATAAACAAGATTGACTCAATATGGAAATGAAAACAAAAAATGTTATTCTGAAGATATCTTTCCCGGAATAATGTAATTAATTTTTTTCTCCTTTCAAGAAGTAGTATAGTGATACATTACATGACTTAAGAATATGGAGAATGAATGTGATCACTTACAGTATATTATACAGTGACACATATATAAAAAACTATGACATTTCAACCCCTATTAATCATAAAACTATTCATCTTTGGGAAGGCAGAATGATTCTTTATAAATTCAAACTCCATGTGTATTATAAATAAGAGTATCTCAGATATAGTTTCACATATTGAAACTAATTTGGTGACTAAAATATTTAAGTACTTTTGGAGTAAACTTCTGAATGACTTTTTACATATGGATAATGAAAACAAAAAGATATACAGAAAGGAAAATGTAAACGGAATTCAATTTCTTTGTCGATTCTGGATCTATATACAGGCTTATTTTTCTACTTTTTTTTTTTTAAACGGAGTTTCGCTCTTGTTACCCAGGCTGGAGTGCGATGGCGTGATCTCGGCTCACCGCAACCTCCGCCCCCTGGGTTCAGGCAATTCTCCTGCCTCAGCCTCCTGAGTAGCTGGGATTACAGGCACGCGCCACCATGCCCAGCTAATTTTTTTTTTGTATTTTTTAGTAGAGACGGGGTTTCACCATGTTGACCAGGATGGTCTCGATCTCTTGACCTCGTGATCCACCCGTATCGGCCTCCCAAAGTGCTGGGATTACAGGCTTTAGCCACCGCGCCCGGCCTATTTTTCTACTTTTTAAACAGTAAGAAACAGTGTTGTTAACATCATTTATTCCACTGTGCTTGTTGGAGAAACCTCTAAGTAGTCATCATAAGTTAATCTTTTTTATCTAAAAATTTAAATTTTTACTTTAAAAGCATGAAAACATTCAACCTTCATGGACTTATTTTTTTCTGAGCCCTGTAGTATGTCTTTCTTTCCAATATTTATATCCAATTCAGAAACAGACCTGAAAACTGTCTACAAAAAAAATATCCTCTTGAGTTCTTAGATGCTCTAAAAAGACATTTATAAAAGGCATTTTTATGAATAAGGTGAATACTTAGTGTTTATATATAGTTACCAACAAATTAATTTACAGATGGACAGAGAGAATTTTTATCTAAAAAGTTATATGTGTCAGTCCCAAAATAAAAATAAAAAAACTTCCTTTTAACAATTCACTAAATACACATTTGTTATTTTCAAAGGACTTCTTAGAAAGTAACATTCCATTTTAATTCTCTTGGCTCGAAACCCTGACAGTGAATGTAGCTTTCTCTGGATGTGAGAAAGCATCCTCCCAGGGTAGGATGGATGCTCCTTCAATGAACAATGGACTCACTGATGACAACCGAAGGATGGATGATGAAAAGGCCTGGTATGTTCAATGAACTCAACGCAACACTGCTAACAGGGTGGTTCCAATTCAGAAAGAGAAATGCTGACTGATACTGTTTCAGATTTAGGAAACTGCAAGGAAGGAAGAAAGATGCATCGGGCGGTGGGGACGTGGGGGAGGGGGTGCTATGTTTTAAAATGTGACAATAATTTGTTTATCTCAAGCCATATAAAAGAGGAATTTCTAAAGGTAATAAAGAATGTAAACTAACAAGGCTAGTTATTCTGGGGTATGCTATAAATATTTCTATTAAAAAAGGGATACAGACTATCAACTTTATCCTTCTCTGCACCTAGCTCAATAAAGGCTTTTCATAGTGAGATTCTGTACTCTGCTCCAGTTAACAGAGCATCTTAGTGGCTCAAATCCCCTGTGTTACTACTCCATTTCATTTTGTGTTCAAGTGAGAAACAACCCATTTTAATGCTGAATGGGACATCCCAGATATTCTAGCCCAACATCCTGAATTGTCCTCAGGATGAGGAATCTGAGGCCCAGATTTGACCTACGTCTGATGAGCAGACAGTTATAACTAGAACTCAATTCCCCCAAATTCTACAAGGAAGATTTTTATTTGTCTGTTCCTTGAGAGACATAATTTTTATCTGACCATTCTCCCATATCTAATTCTCACCTATCTCCTCTCTACTAAAAGAATGTCATACTTCTTTGCATCTCACAAAATGCCTAGCTCCTAAAAATAACGTACAGATTTATTATCAAAGTCAACATATCAAAATCTAGTTATGTTCTCATCTCATTGAGCTAAGGCATGTAATACTACATCTGCAATGTATCAAGGATGTTGCATATGTCATAAAAATGCAAAGCCAATGTCAATCATATATGTAGGAAAACACTTGGATTGTCTATGTTGTTTGTAGTTTTACAGACAACACAGATCAGAGACTCTTAAAGTGTTTTCTCAATCCAATTCACTGAAGAGAGTGAATTACAACACACGTAGCAATAAGAGTTCACATCAGCAGTGGTTTTCCTGGAAGGATATCCTTAAGGGAAGAATATCAGCATCTCTAGCGGGTAAATGGTTGTTTACAGGAAAGAGGAGTTTGAAAAGAAATAAAGAAGGAAAATTGGAAAATGGCATGTTGGTCTTTATTAAAATATACGGATATTTGTATTTTGGGTACCATGAATTAGTTCTGAGGCACGAGCATTACACAACATAATAGTCAAACTCCATCCTTGGCGTGCGTAGAGGACACCTAGGGAGCCCATGTGTGAGTTTACATAATCGCAGGGCCTTGTGAACTATCTTGTAACTGCTACTTTCAAAAACAGGTCAAAAAACGGAACTGACTACCAACACCACCCTCAACCAAATGGAGTATCAGTGATAGTCCCACGTTGAGTAGACTTGGGGACAGGGCTTGATGACTAAAGGAGGAGAACAGAAGGCAGAAAGACACGGCATCAGGCCACCTCGGTTCCATTCCCAGCTCAGCCACACCTGGCGCTCCCACACAGAAAACTTCCCCTTCACCATTCCTACTTGGAGTTGGGACTAGATGCTTGTTCAGATCCTCCAAGCTTAGACTATCTGTTCCTCTCTTTTTATTAAAACAGGAAACACGATTTTTGATAATAAGCAGAATTGTCCAATATACGTAAAATTACTCTGCCTGGTATTTTAGATATTCATAGCAACTAAATAACAGCACAGAGATGAAATATAGAGACCTTACAGACATCGTGAGAAATAAGATTATGTGTAGATATCAGACAAACTCATGTATCCTACTAGGAGGGCATAAAGCCCATGTTTTGGATTGACTAGTCAATCTGCCACTGTACAGCCAGTATGTGCCCTGCTCAAGGGGATCTAACTAAAATCCTTGAAAAGTAAGATGCAGCAGTTTTTTTTTTTGAGACGGAGTTTTGCTCTTGTAACCCAGGCTGGAGTGCAATGGCGCGACCTCGGCTCACCGCAATCTCTGCCTCCTGGGTTCAGGCAATTCTCCTGCGTCAGCCTCCCGAGTAGCTGGGATTACAGGCACGTTTTTTTTTTTTTTTAATTTTAGACCTAGCGGGTACATGTGAAGGTCTGCTATAAGGGGGCATCGTGTGAAGATGCATTAGCTTTTGAATCACTGCTCCAACCGCCTGGTTAACATCATGAATCTGGAAATGAACAAAATAAGCCCAATAACACAGCATGAATGGATGTGTTAATATTTTGTCTCTTAGAAATTAATGCAGTGCTTGTCCTTGGTATAATGAAACAAGGGTATGATAGAAGAGGTTAGGGTAAAAGAAAGAAGAAAATATTAAAAAATTCTTCATGAAACACTGGGGAATCTCTCTGCTGGTGTTACAAAGGAAAAAGAATTGACCCTTTGAGCTTATGCTGTGAAGCACATACCTCTTGAGAAATGTGTTTCCTTTGTTCATCTGAGGAAATCTAAACTCTATTCCAAATAAGCTTCCTAGGCTGCTTCTGGGGTCGGGGACAGGAGGGCATGTGATCACTTACTTAGATTTATGCAGCACGCCTACCTTAGGAGAATTAAAACTGTGCACACACACAAACATTAAACTTACTCTTATTGTCTAGCTGAGCTCGATATTTAGTAAATCCTTTCAGTCGGACTCTCTGGCCCAGCAGATCAAGGAATTCTTCAAAAGCTGGTCCCGCTGTCTCATTGTTATACATCTCTTCCTCTGTGCTCTGGCCTGCTTTGCAATAAAGGATCCCGATCTTGTGCTGAAAGCTCAGCTGAAATGGGGGAGAAATATAATTACTTGGCAAAGCATATCAGACAAGCTAACTTCCAGTAAAATTAAAACTACAGAAGCTGAGAACTGTTCGAGGAAAGCATGCCAGAACAATTCCCACAAGCGAATAAGCAAAAGAGCA